GACTTCCGGATGTGATTTAATACTGATCGTCTTGCGCCCAAGTATCTTAGTGCTGGCTGGCGCTACCGTTTCATGCGCATGAGTTTTGTTATAAGAAAAAATGTATCCGGGTGATGTTGGAAACATGTACTGTGCCGATCTGGCGCAGTACAAAGTGGACCGTACGCAAGCCTCCTCTCGATTACTTGTTTGGAAACTATGGGGCAGATTTCACCGGCTTCTCCTATCGGCATTTTTAATTTTTCAGGAATGCAGATTTCTAGTGATAATCCGACTACCGATTCAGACGATGCCTGCCACACAGGTAGGCTCAGGGGCAATAACTTGCGCGTGATTTAGTTGATAGTGAAAATAAAATTCCCCATCACCAACCGCACTCTCTCACCCTTTGTCACCTGCACCCGGTATCATGACAAAGCTAAGAAACCGGGGGCGAAATAGGGTACAGGTACTTGAGGCGTCAGGAACCTGCGACTACAGCCTACCGCCACATTAAGCCATTCCAGCCTTACTCAGTCGAGCATTCCACACAAATACACGTTGGGCTGAATGTGAAGTCCCACTTAGTCCGTCAGTTGGCATCTTCAAAACCAAAGAAATTTGGTGCATCGTAATAGATTTAGGCGTGTCAGCTTCCGGTGAGGTGTATGCGACTCCTGGCAGTTGTCGACATCAGAAACTTGTCATACAAATTGATCATGCTACGCTTTGCCTCTGGGAATCGGGTCCACTCTTTGTCCAACAAGCAACTTCTGATCTCTTGGCAGTTTACTTATGACCAATTGTTTTTCGCTCGTCACCTACAAATTTCGATTCTAGTATCTTTGTAAAATCCGTACATGAAGTTGCAACCTCCGCAGAAATTTATTAAGTCAACTGCACTAAGAGGCGTCATCTGTTTAGTTCTGTTCCCTAAGGTTGCTGTCAAGCTAGGGATGCGTCCCGTAACACTAAGCGAAGCCATCACCGATGAGCGGAGCGACAGCCCCACCTCCGCAACGTTCTCACTAATTGATGTCTACTTCTAAAGTTTTAGTAGAAATGTTATTTTCGGTAAAATGTTGATGAGGCGCGGCTGCGATAGCAATCCACGCGTCTGTTGGAGATCTGAGGGGACATTCGCTGATTATTCGTGTAATACATACTCGAGAGGTCCATTCTCAGTTATAAATCGCTAATTTTACGATTTTACAACAGCTTCCGAGGCCACCCTGGTCCTAACCAGTCTCGCCTACAATAACACGGGATCT